GATGATACGCCTGACGGAACTATCTTTAGAACCCTACATTTGTATGGGAATGTCAGATGATTTGACGCCCGTTACAATTTTTGATGGAGTTTTTTTGACTGCCTTCATCGTATCACATCAGGTCCATACCAATTCAATAATTTTGGTCTGAATTTCTGGGATAAGGAGTTATCATTATTTACATTATTTATATTTGGACTATTGTCCTCTGTTGTTTTTTATCACAATGTTTCAGCTGTTGTGCCCTCTGGCCTTCCTCAGGCCTATATTGATCTGGTAAACTACAGGGAATTCTGAACTGAACCCTTTATTTAATCTACGGGGCTAGAATGAGCTCATTCCACTGTTCATGTCTAGGAATATCATCTAGTACTTATTTTTAGTACTGCTCAACCATTTCCACTGACCGAACCAGAGATTGAACACACAAATACTATGTCTCATAGACAATAAACACCTGATAAAGGCCGAAGGGTACAGTAGCCAAAAAGTTGTGATAACAACAACAAAGATGAGGATAATAGTCTGGATGTAAATATTATGAATGTTTTTTGCCTTTTTTTTTCCAAACATTAAATTATTAATCACTGGATTTGGTGGTGTATAAGACACGCCCCAATTTCAGCAGGGAAAAATCAAGAAAAAATTGGTAATTAGTAAAATTATTAGTAAATCGTACAGCCTAGACTATATTTATGCAGTATTGTTTTAGTTAAACAAGCCATGATTACAAATAAGAAAAAATAAAAAAGAACACGAGCCTATAAAAACTTTATTATTGTAAGAAAACAAAATAAAAATCAAGCAATTATTACAATTGAGCAAAACAGTACAGTTACCAATAAAAATTTTATTCATCTTCAAATCCACAAAATTTGTCGTCTTCATTATCAAAACTCTGATACTCATTTTCAATCCTACTATCATTGTCATTAAATAATGCGTCATCTTCCGTTCTATTGAGAGCATTCTGGTCTAATATTGTTGCACCCATTTGCAGACTTGTGCAGTACTGGGTATTTTTATTCTTCCACTAAGTATAAGGTTGTGATCAAGCATTACCATCCATGTGTTCTGTTGCTCCTTCATATTTAAGTCGTCGCTAATAGGAGTGGCCAGGTCGCTAATTTTAGCCAACTATCACAAATTTTAAACCTACATATGGCAGATAAGATGCAGGGGAATTTTAAAAGAAATTTTTAGTAAAAAAAAAGTGCGCCTTATATGCCATCAAATACGGTAAATTAATTTCAGAAAAGGCTTTATGAATACTTTACTTTCGAGTCATTATGAAAATAAGATGAGGATTTACTTTCAATTCAATACAGAAAAGCTGGGCGAATTTATAAATAACTTCAAACATGAACTAAGAATCATAAAGAAAAGATACAGTATAAATATTAACAGCTTTTTTTCAAAAGTCATTCTTTTCTTTCATGAGAAATGCCAGCATAGAGGAAAATGTAGTAATGGTTTATTATTTAAGCATACACTCAAATACACACACACACATTTCTTTCTTTTGCTTTTTTAACCTGATGAAGCCTAGAAAGGCAAAACATGTAATCAAATTAAGCTTCAATGAAATAGTTTTCTAGTTGTCATATTTCTTCAAAATTTTGTCGGGATTCTATATCCTATTTTATATAATTATGAATTTTAAAAATACACTTCTGTAATTCCATATCTCTGTTGGTATCATTCCAAGAGTTATGTAAATAACTGGACTCATTCTGTGTATTGTTGTTTCTTTGGGCCAGCCTAATCTATGGCTTTCTTCTAATGTACGATCTGTATGGAAGAGACAGACAGTTATGTGCCATGCTAGGCATGATACACGCTTAGGCGATCATGCATCTTTCAATACATGACTGACAAGGCAGATTTTTTCCCTGCAGTAGGTTGCCATTACTTTCTTGGTTGACCAGTTGCCATCCAAGGCTATAGAACTCGATCTGTCCTGCTATTTTACCCATAGCTGGGGAGGAGAAGAAGAGGATTCATACCTTTCCCGAGGGTATTAGCATGTAAGTGAATGTAATGGATTCGACTGGAATTCGAACTCGGGTCTCTGCTTCCTTAACCCTATCCCGTGCATTCTACATAGTCCATGAAAATGCTAAAAAATCATCAGCTTACCCGACCATGATGAAAACATGCTCCAAAATGTAATGAAAACATAGTATCAAAGTCTTTGTTATTATTAGGACACAGACGGTACAAGAGTTTCGCAGACCCCCTCATCATCTATGATACACAGCCCCTGATTCTATGATACAGAGACCCTCACTCTATTACATAAGGTCTTCTTGAAATGCCATGCATGATACATGCTTAGGCAATCATGTATCTTTTGATACATGACTGACAATGTAGATTTTATCCCCCCTGTATGTTGCCATGTAAGTGAATGTAATGGATTCAACTGGAATTCGAACTCGGCTCTCCGGTTCCTCAATCTGAGCCACTATCCATTACTCCAGCATAATGTAATTTTCCTTTATTGATACATGCATTATTAACACGTTTGTGCTTAAATTCATAGAAACTTCATCAGAACAATTACCATGAAAGTATTTATAGAAAAGGTACAGGGAAACTATATTAAGATGGTTGAAAATAATTGAAGTCAAGACCAATAACATTGCAGATCCTTCTTTTGGTTTTATCAAGAATCTCTAAATAATTTTCCTTTATTGATACATGCATTATTAACACGTTTGTGCTTAAATTCATAGAAACTTCATCAGAACAATTACCATGAAAGTATTTATAGAAAAGGTACAGGGAAACTATATTAAGATGGTTGAAAATAATTGAAGTCAAGACCAATAACATTGCAGATCCTTCTTTTGGTTTTATCAAGAATCTCTAAATATATAGCAGGAGCACCATACCAGATGCAGCAGCAGTATTCAAACAAGGATAAATGGTAAATATGTTTTACAAGGAGAAACTGAATACTTTTCAACAGGGAGTTATTTTCATGTATTTTTACATGACTAATAAATGATTAATGAAGGAGAAAAATATACTAATGTGTATACAGCTGAAAATTAAAGGAAAAACATTAAAAATCTAGATATTAGAAAATGTGTGTCTCAGACATGTGTGTAAAAGTTCAATCATCAGTCACCCAAGGAAAAGAAATTCTCCCCAGTGGCAACAAAGTTTCATGTGCATCTTGGAGCAGAAGAAGGAGAAAGAGAGAAGAGGAGATATGTACATACTTTTATAGTACTTAAATAGCACCACCTAATGGGTGTCTTGGCAGACCAAGTTGGGTTGGTCCCGACAGTTTTAATCTATGAGGGCATGAGTCATTATTATGGTTTTTCATAAAAAACTATAAAATAAAATGGACAAGTTGCATAAATTGATAAGGAAGAGCATTAATTTAAAAAAAACGTATTGCCTAAAATAAATTCTTGTTTGGCTCCAGACTAATTGATATGCATATGTGTCTGAATAACCAATATATAAATTTGATAAAAATAAATATTTTCCTTCAGCCAACAGTTCATAAGGACCCGACCTAAAAATATCGGAGAACTATTTAAATAGACGGGTCCATTCGTAAATAATATGGAAGAAAACTTTCAGTTATTATTTTCAACATTGATATTTGTAAACAAGTTTTCTAGGAACTCTGTTAAAAGTCAGGCATCAATTTTACTCCCCTTTCTGGAATGATAACAAATCCATATTTTTTATTCTGACAAATGTTGCGGCTTATAGAAGGTCTAAATAATGTTGATGCACAAAACATATTTCTCCACAAAATATTTTCCCTATTTCTATGAGTGGATCAGTCAATTTTAGCATTGTCAAAAATGTACACTGAATAAGCCAGATAATGGCAAATGTTGAAAAATAAAAAGTGATTAATATTGTATTAAAAACAAAAGATTAGTTTAAGGGATTTAACAATACTTCAGCCACTGTAGTGTTAATTATTCTTTATAATTAGGCCACAGGAAGCATGGTGGAGTAATGGATAGCATCTTGGATTGAGGAATTGGAGAGCCAAGTTCAAATTCCAGTCAAATCCATTACATTCACTTACATACTAATACCCTAGGGAAAGGTATGAATCCTATTCTTCTCCCCCCAGTTATGGGTAAATAGCAGGACAGACCAGGTTCTAAAGCCTTGGATGGTAACTGGTCTACCGGAGAAAGAAATGGCAACCTACTGTAGGAAAAAATCTGCCTTGTCAGTCATGTATTGAAAGATACATGATCGCCTAAGCATAACTGACTGGCTGATGCCCTAGTCTCTAGGCTAACATGGCACATTGTATGCTTGAGTTTATAAGCATTCATCTTGTTTATGCATGACTCTATAGGAAAACTTTTATTGGGCCTGTGCTTGAGTCAATAATAAAATTACCAACAATACATTTTATGATCTACAAACTATATATCTAAAATAAAACATACCTTTATCCTGAAAGTATAAAATTATGTACAAAATATTTAGATAACCAATATATGTTGATATACCACTAAACAAAATCAACCAACCAACAATACTTATTTATAGTAAAATTACCAAGAATATATATTTAAAGTAGTATGACCAACAATACATTTTGTCTATAGTTGAAAGTATATAATTTCATTCAAAATATATTAGTTGAAGCCAAAATATTTAGATTTTAGCATTAAATAACCCATAGAGGTGTTGATATGCCCCTAAACAAAACCAACCAACCAATAAGAAGATTGATTCATTTTCAACAGTTTATCATCTCTTTGCAGCTTTAAATAGCCTTAAAATATATTTAGATTGTAAAAATTTGTTTTTTGAGATCATAATGATTCAGTGATACAAGTCTTATTAATTAACCCATAGTTGAGGAGGAAAGAAATTGATTCATACCTTTCCCAATGGTATTTACACATAAGTGAATACAACAAACCCAACTAGAATTGGAACTCAGCTCTCCAATTAACCATTCCGAACCATTATCCATGACACCACATGCACATCTAAACTTACAGCATCTGGTATTCCCAAGCAGTCACCCATCTAGGTACTGACCAGGCTCGATGTTGCTTAGCTTCAGTTATTGTACAGGAAGTGGTGTTTGAACATGATGTGGCCATAAGCTTAATTAGAAGAGAAAAGAATACACTAAAAAGAAAATACATTGAAAGTGCACTGATTTCACAATATCACTGATTGAAAGTGCACTGATTTCACAAATTTTTGCCAATACTTAATCTTCATTGGTTATTCCTTTGACATTACTATTACTGTATACACTTGTCACTCCCTCGGCAATGTTTATTGTTTTAAAAAGCAATCATTACAATTTTAATAACATACAAAAATGGACTTATAACATTTTCTTTATTCTTGATAATTGACAACAGTAGTTCAGGGATATTTTTATAAAATCATTAATAAATAAATTTGTTTTCATTAAAAGAGTTAATAAATATTGCATTGTAGTTGGTTTACATACTTTTATAATCTTATAAATAAACCTTACTGAAGGAGTCAGAAAGTGTAGTGGTCAGGAAATAGCCGTCTTTTTGAAACACTGATGTTTTTGCGGACACAAAGGTTAACACTGGCGAATTTCTTTTCCATATCATTGGGAAAAAAAACAATCATCAATTGATGCTAGCTGTAAGGGTTAAAATAAAAATGAAATGAAAAAATAAAATTTACTAAAAGCTACAAACGAAAGGAAAATATAGACAACGATGATCGTCAGCGTCCTTAAAGGGAAATGGCATATAGAAGAAAAACAAGTTATAAAAATGAAAATTGCATTTTGGACAATATTTTAGCTTTAACTTCTGGTACAAAACTTTTCAAATCGAAAGGTGACAGGTCCTTTTTTTTATTTACCTTTCCCCTTTTTGTTTTGCTAATATAATGATGCTAGGTAAAGAAATCTATGGAAAGTGATTCTATATTTACAAATATTACTCAACCGCCCTAGCCTCGAATTACCATAAGCGAAAATGTAATTTCTTGTTTGTAGTTATTCCAACTTTGAAAATTAACTTCTATTTTGATTTTGGAGTAACGTTTTTACACAAGGAACGAAATGATATTCAACACCGCTTTGCATTCGCTTTTGTTCGGCATGATGATTAAGAGACGAAGTAATTCCTTCAAGAAATTGAGGTTTTTATCGAGTTTTTACGTTTGTTTATGTTGTTTTTCTCTCTTTTCAATGAATATAAGACTATTTCGGCAATGATTTTCGATTCATAATGAAAAACATTCTTGAAGATTTCATTTTAGCTTTAATTGAAAGTTTAATAACTAAATTTACGATTTCTATTAATTAAACAATTTGGTGTATTTCAGATAGAAACTATATACATTTGATTGTCAAATTTAATTTCAAATTTTAAATTTTCTTAAAAACGGCCATTTTCTTAATTTTAAGAAATTTGTAAACAAACACAAATTTATCGATTTTAAAATATTTAAAAAAATTCTGACACGTTATTTTAGTAAAATTAAAAATTTAAAGTTAAAGTTTTTCAAAGAAATCTTTGTTACGTTTGTATTAACGAGCGGTCCTGTTCATCTGTTCGATCTCATTGATAATGGTTGATTGACGAGCCGATGACAGCTACTACTGATGACCATAAATGACATAATTTTTTAAGTCTGAGTTTTAAAAAAATTATTATATTTGAGTATGACACACAATACAATACATAAAATAAAATTATTTAGTGAAATAGTAAATGAAAAAAAAGAAAAAATAATTTAAAATTTAAAGTTTAAACTTTTGAACGGAAAATACGACTTGTAAACGAACGAAATGTTTTGAAAAGGCCACGTAAAGGGACACAAAACCTTAGATCACATGACCTTGTTATAATAATTTTCTGTATATCATACATGGAAATAAGGAATGTATTAAGTAAAAAATACAACATAAAAAAATTATTTTTAAAAAAGTAGCGCAACTAAATTTATTAAACTTAGCAATTTTGGATTCGTAAATTTTTTTTCAAATTAGTACATAATATCGAGGAACCCTCCTAATTTTACACGATTTAAAACTATTATAAATTATTATAATTAAAATTTCTTAAAAACGAAAAAATTCTTGTAAAAATTAATTATTCATCAGAAAAAATTATTTCTTCAGACAATAATGTCCTTAATATTAATTTACAAAAAGCAATTAAAAGCTTTTCTAATTAGGTAATATCATAGTTTTATTGATTCATTATTTTTCAATTCAGAGCAGATTTTCATAAGTAGCTCAAATTTGTGAAAAGAAAATTAGGTTATTTACCATCTTCAAGACTCCTACTTTTAATAAAAAAAAATTCAGGAACCAAAAAGGTTTTGACATTAAATTAAGATTCATATTTTAAAAAATATAATTTTTACAAAATTTTCTAAAAAAAAAATATTTAAAAAATAATTTCAAATTTTTGAATAAGTCCTGAAAAATTAAGATTGGACAATTATTTTATTTTTACAAGAATTTCCAAATCAATATGTTTTCAACGGTAAAAAACGCATAAAAAAATATGTTATTTTAAACGTCGCCATGAAAACAAAGACGACTTTAACTTTCATGTAAAAAAATATTAAAAATTTCAAAAAATAATTTTAAAAATAACCTTTTGACGATAATTTTATTTTTCTTTAAAGTTTGTGGCATTTTCATTTATTCTGTTTTTCCGCGAAAATTTGAATAATAGGAAAATTAAGAATGGTCGAAAACGCTATCTTGTTTATTTATCTCATAGGCTTTTTCTTTTCTCAACTAATGAGGGATAAACAAACAATATTTTTTTATTTATTTTTTCTTGTTTACCTACAAGAAAAGGAAATTTACACACCAGAACGTCCTTTTCGCTAAAATTGGACATATGATTCAATAAATCAATAATGTTCCAAACTTAAAAAACAAAATTTTATCGTCAAACAAAATTGTGTTAAGAGGAAATGCCAAAGAATTTCTTCATGTAAAAATTATATTTTTTTAAAATCCTGTTTAGAATATTCAAAATTTGGGTTAAATTAAATATCTTGTTTCTTTGGTGTCAACGAGGGATCATAAATTAGTACGGGATGAATGAAAACAAAAAATTAATTTTTTTAAAAACTTTCAGAACTTATTCACAAATGAATTAAAAAATTATTTTTTAAACGTAGAAAATCTTTGTAACACACACTTATTTAATTTTATCGAATTTCGAAAAATTCTTTTTTGCTTTTATTGTTTGCATTAGGACAGGTCCTAGGAGAATTTAAATTTTAAAACTTCAAATGAATTTTGGTCAAACAGGACCCCAGTTACAGAAAATCTGCTCAAAATCATAGAATAAAAATGCAATAAGTCTAAGACATTATTTAATTAGAAATGCTTTTAATTGCTTTTAAAATATATGGACACTAAGAAATTTCTTTTTTCAATGAATAATGAATCTTTACCAAAATTGTTTTCATTCTTAAAGATTTTAATTGGAATAATGAATAAACTTAAGATTCTGAATTAATTTGTAGTGGTCAATTGGTATTATTAAATTAAATACAAACTATTTACTAGTCATAAATAGAAAAGCTTACTACAATTCAATGACACCTAGTATTTTCAAAAGAATTTTGAATATTTTTTGTGTATAACCATGCCAATTTTTGCAAATAGATCCATACAAGACATTAGAAAATAAGAGTGATAACTATAGTAAATTTAAAATTATATTCTGGCATTTTTGTAAGACTATAAAACCAAAGAACCTAAAATTCTATAAAATATTAGAATGCTTAAAAAATTTTTAAGGTTAGTGAAAAAAAAATATCTAAAAAAAAAGGTGTTTACATTATATTTGTCATGTAATTTTACTACAAGTATTTCCCTCTTACATAAATATCACAAACAGGTTATCAATAGATGTACCAACTCCTCATAAAAACACCCGCCTCAATTTTAAAAAATGCTTTTCTGCAATATTTTAAACTAAAAATAAATAATATTTGTTTCAAATCAAATTAATTAAACTTTAAGTCAGCTAATATTCCTCAAATAAAGTTTTAGAAAAATATATTTTATTTGTGAAAGATTTTTTTAATAGAGAATTATGCTGTGTTGACAGATTTGTCAATAGGAAGGGTTTTTATTGATTTTGCTGAAAATCAAAAAAAAAAATAATTCCAATCAATTTAAATTCAGTTTGAATTACAACAAAGTATTTTTTATTGGAAATATTAAATTTAATCTATTAGCTTGGAATTAAAACTAAAATGAAAACTTCAAGAAAAATTTTTCATTTTCAAAATACATTTCAAACCTTAGCTATTGCTTTTTTTTTTTTTTTTTGAGGTACGTACATGTACATGAGGAAAGTGCTGAAAATTTCTTAAAAATAAATTCTGGTCTTTGTTCATTTGATCAGATTTTGAGAAATGTGTCAGGCTGAGAACTTTTCAGCACCATAATGTCTGTCCATGTACAAACATTTACAGCAAGGAATCATTTCATTTTAGTGTTTTAAAAAAATGAAAATTAAATAATGCACTAGGAACAGAAATTCTTGCACAACAATTCGCCCTTGCATATGTTGCCATATATGGTCTGGAGCCTCTTCTGTTTGCCTCGGGGTTCTTGATAGGCTGATATGCAATATAATTGGCCCTGCTCTGGCATCTTGTCTACAGTCACTTTCTCACAGACGCACCGTCGCCTCTCTCTGTATGTTTTACAAATACTTTCATGGTAATTGCTCCGAGGAGCTGCATTCGCTGGTTTCCAGACTTCATGAGCTCAAGCGCCCAACGAGGCTGGCATCCCGCTCTCACCCCTTCACTGTCAAAACTCCTAAATGTAGCCGTCTCTTCGACTCTAATAGCTTCATGTCTCGCACCTCTCGCCTGTGGAACTCCCTTTGCTATTCCAGTTTCCCTGAGAGCTATAGTCTCCAGCTATTCAAATTTAATGTCAATCGACATCTCCAGTTGCCTTGATCTATCCACTACACTTCTCCTCATCCTTTCTTCTATCACTCCAAATTTTCTGTAACCCCTTGCGTCCTAGTGGCTTCCCGCCTTGCTTGGGGTGACACACTTAAAAAAAAAAAAAAAAAATACCTAGACTAGGTGTAATCTTCAGCTAT